AAATACATCACAACACTGAAGTCAGTTGCAACTTCCGGTTCACGGGTACTTTGATATTGATATTTTTCAAGGTATTGGAAGTTAGAAATTCCTGTACCATGACCACTAATTCACATACTTTGTCAATAAGATAAAAGTGGGTTTTGTTCAAAGTAGCGATTATCCACATAGATCTTTCATATGAATTAATATTTTTTGGTAATTCATTAAATATCGCCGTAGTATAGTAACTAGTACTCTGAGTAGTTTTTGAGAGGAGTACTTTGTACTTTAACTTAAGTACTGTTTTGACACCAGTACTTTTACTTGTAATTGAGTATTATTTCAGCAATGTAACAGTACTTGTACTTATGTACAAATTTTCAGTACTCTTTCCACCACTGCTGTCGTGAACGTGCGTCCAAAGTGACGCAGTAGAGACGAAAATGTGGAATAAAGTTGTTATTTTGGTTTTCTTTGAGCAAAAAAAGTATTCTCATAGCTTCATAACTTTACAGTTGAACCACTGATGTCACACGGACTACTTTGTCGATCATCTTGGTACTTTTCTGGACCTTGAACGTGGTAGTTACCTTGCTGTCTATGGGAGGGTCAGAGAGCCCTCAGATTTCATCAAAAATATCTTAAATTGTGTTCCGAAGATGAACGAAGGTCTTACGGGTTTGGAACAACACAAGGGTAAGTAATTAATGACATAATTTCCATTTTTGGGTGAACTAACCCTTTAAGTACTGTTTTGACCAGTACTTTTAATTGTAATTGAGTATTATTTCAGCAATGTAACAGTACTTGTACTTAAGTAAAAATTTTCAGTACTCTTTCCACCACTGATCGTTCCACCCAGGGCAGTTATCACTGTCAATCATAGCAATGACTGACGGAACAATTTAGCGGATTCACTCGCATAATTTTTTACACTCGCGTTTGTCACTCTTGAAACAGTATATGTGGACGTTCGGTCCTCTTAGACAAACAAAACTTTCTTCAAATTGTCAATGGATTATGTAGAGATTCTAGAGAAACAGAGCAAAGCTCTTAAAGCGCAACTGACTGAGCTTATGCGAAAACTCCTGATAAATCAATGACTAACTACACAATCAATCTCTCATTTACACCGTGTGTATGCGTTTTTTCTCTCTCTGATTATATTAGGTAGTAGTGTTGTCAAAAGACCTGGTACTTCGGTACCAAGTCGGTACTAAAAAAAATGAAAACGTTACGGTACCAGGTTTTTTTAAGTGCCGGTGGTACCAAGTACCCGGTCAACCCGGTTCTTGATGCGCCGTTACTGGGGAAACCTCCATCTCTCCCGCTTTACTAGCACCTCCTGCTGGCAGAGAATGAATTTGCATATATATGCCACCACAAATACAGTGCAAGTCTGTGGGAAACACTACTTATGTTATGAATATTATTCAATATTTTAATTTGAATGTCGGATTGAAATGAACATCGCTGTTATTAGAGTAGTTAACTGTTAACATAAGCGCAGCTAATATAATGAGCATTAGAATGAGGTTTCTTTATTAACTATGTAATGCTCCTATAACTTTTATTAGGGTAAAAAAACAGGACGACATGATGATATTTACTATTTTTACACACCAGAGGCTTTTAATTGATATTGGTACCAAATACTGAAATGTTGGTACCGTGACAACACTATTAGGTAGATCTGCAAGCGTGTAGAACTCTGTAAACTTACGAAAACAAAAATTAGCTCAGAGGGGATTCTTCTGATTAACCTACACAAAACACCTCTGACTGGCCATTGCTTTCAACAGAGATGCCTGTGATTGGCTACAATACTCAATGCTGCAAAAACACGTAAATAAACTTGTGGTTTTGTAATTCGAAACCAGAGCGTGCACGCAAAAACACACAGGAGTGTTTAAAAGTGGTTGACTACAAGTGGGTACAGATATGAATTGGTACTAATGGTACTGTAAAAAGAATGAAGAAACAAAGCAATTTAGCGCTAGTATGGAAGAAAAATGCCTGCCACGGCATACAAAGCATGTCAGAGTTGTCTGCTACATAATTGCCATTTTTGGTCTCGTTCAGCTTCCCACCTCAGCCTGTGTTCCCATAACTAACGCCCCTATAATGGTCAGAACAGCCTGCTGTAATGACCTATAAATGGCACTGAGGAAAACAAAGATGAGGTCAGTAACTTAAAACATCTAATAACACTGCACAATGATAATAAAGAGCTTAAGCTGCTATATAAAGTCAGAGGTTTACCCAACAAGCAGCTGTGTTTTGAATAATTACAGGGATACTTAACCCATTAATTCCCTTTTTTTCCCTCAGAAAATAACTTAATTACAGTTATTTGCATATCATAATATGAACAAGCAGTGCATTTTACTTGCAAATTTAAAGTGTATTTTTTTCCATATAAAAAAACACTTTAACAGCCATATCAGCCATATCACCCTGCAGCCTAAGACTGGTCGCCCACTGAAGCTAAGCAGGGATGAGCCTGGTCAGTACCTGGATGGGAGACCTATTGGGAAAAACTAGGTTGCTGTTGGAAGAGGTGTTAGTGAGGCCAGTCGGGGGTGCTCACCCTGTGGTCTGTGTGGGTCCTAACGCCCCAGTATAGTGACGGGGACACTACACTGTTAAAAAGCACCATCTTTCGGATGAGACGTTAAACCGAGGTCCTGATTTTCTGTGGTCATTAAAACATCCCATGCTACTTCTCGTAAAAGAGTAGGGGTGTAACTCCGGTGTCCTGGTCTAATTCCCTCCACTGGCCCTTGTCAATCATGGCCTCCTAATAATCCCCATCCACTTGATTGGCTCTATCACTCTCTCTCCACTCCACCTGTAGCTGGTGTGTGGTAAGCACACTGGCGCTGTTGTACTGTGGCTGCGGTCGCATCATCCAGGTAGATGCTGCACACTGGTGGTGGTTGAGGAGAGATCCCCCCATATGATTGTAAAGCGCTTTGGGTGTACAGCGATACACAATAAAAACTCTATATAAATGCCTCATTCATTCATATATCACGATAATGAATATGCACAGTATTGTTATCGTGGGCACTTCAAAATACAGAGAATAATTATTTATTACAAATTATTCAGAATTTTGAATGCGTTTTAAGAATAATTTTCCCATCAATTGGTCACAATGCACAACACTGCTGTATGCTGCATCACAGACGCATGCGCACTCAGATGTAAACAAGCACGGTTGAGAAGCGCATGGTGGAACGCGTGAGAGATGCTCTGGATGAAAGCGCACATTCAATCTCTGACAGCAGATGGCACTGAACAGCAGAAATGCAGACCGGAAACCCCAAACTTATTTAAATGATTTAAATAGCCATTCAGATTTTTGTATTTGCTATGGTGTTAATCACAGCGTCAAATACTTAAATATTTAGACTTAATAGACTTTTTATTTTCAAACTTTTTTACATTTTAATCTGGACTACAACCACTGATCATTATATATAGATCAGTCACTACAACACGCCCTAAATATTTTTTGAAAGCGTTTTGATTCTTTATTGTTCGGTCACTTTACATTAGGGCTTCATTAGTTGACAATAGTTAAAGGGGTCATATGATGCGATTTCAATTTTTCCTTTCTCTTTGGAGTGTTACAAGCTCTTGGTGCATAAAGAAGATCTGTAAAGTTGCAAAGACTAAAGTCTCAAATCCAAAGAGATATTCTTTATAAAAGTTAAGAGTCAGCCACGCCTACCTAAAACGGCTCGTTCTAACACGCCCCCACATATCTACGTCGCTATGTGGGAAGATTTGCATAATGCCGCCCAACAATGCCGGCTGTTCTGACTCAAAGACTGTAAGTACGTCTTTTATAGACGTGCTTACAGTACAAAAGGGAAGACCCTTTTGCAACTTTAGTTGCCTGCTGGCTTAAATTAATAAAAGTAGGCTTATGCTTCACCTTTTAATGGTTACTGACTTAAACCATTTTTTTTAGCAAAAAGATGTAATTCAACATTCTATCTGAAAAATAACACCAACATTTATATATAGTACTCAAGCACCTTTCCCAAAGATATAACCTTACTATTTACCTGCTAGCTATTCAGACATTACACAACTGAAAGCTTGGTTCTAGATAGGGCTGTGCAAAAAATTGAATGCGATTTTCATAAGCATCTCGTCAGTAAAGCCGCTCCTGTGATTAGAAGTAGTTTCAGTTCTTCTAAGTAGTTCACTGACAAGCTACACAAAATCGCGTTCAAAATCGGCAATGAATCGCCTGCGATTTTGTGTAGCTTGTCAGTGAACTACGGCTGTGTGTAGTAAATGCCGCTCCATCTGAACGCACGTGCTGGAGATTTACTACTAATCACAGGAGCGCCTTTACTGACGAGATGCGCATGAAAATCGCATTCGATTTTTTGCACAGCCCTAGTTCTAGATAGGACAAATGTAGATTGATAAATAAAGAAAAAGCTAAAAATTATTTGCCAATTTCTGGTAAATGCTACCATGCAATAAAAATAAATGATCACTCAGCTTAAAGGCTAAAGAAAATGATGCTCAACATCCACAATACCCATAAGATCAAAATAGAAACCATTTAATGTCAATGAATTAATTAATGCCAATGTTTGATTTAATAGCAACTGGAGAAAATATTCGCATCTATAGTAGGCTTGCCGCGATAGACGGTGTTGACGGTGATACCGGTGTTAAGCCGCAACACCGGTTACGTCACTTGCCCACCGCGTCACCGACCCCCACCGTCGTTTTGATTTTTTTATAGTAATAAAAATCATTTAGTTCAGTAAAAGAACAGACACTACAATTAAAAACTGAACGCGGCTGCTCAATATAGCGTGCCGAAGGACAGTCGCATCACAGATCAGATTTCATTTATCCAGTGAGGAGTGGGTCGAGCTGACTGACAAGAGTGAGGTGAGACAGACAAGACGATCGCGGATGATTTAGTTTCGAAACTAGATGCAAAAGCACCTGTTTGCCAATATTTTGGATTTTGAAATCCAAAAATTTTGATGACTTTTGCCGTTTATCTAAGGTGATTTTGGAAGTTTTTTTAAACATTCGTTTCTTATTTAATTGGTTCCACATTGTTTGCTGATTTTTACTTTAACTATGTTTACTATTTATTTTATTTGACATCAAGGTGTATGCCGTGCC